TGTAAGACTTAGTGATCAACACTCCAAATTATCACTGACTGTTGTGAGTGAAATTCTTTCCGACGAATTATAGTTGGAAGTAGGCCAGAGTTTCCAATGATGTTTATGTACGATGGTTTTTTTAGCCAAATCGGTTGACTGCTAACGATCTTCGAATCAGAACGGAGTTAGAATTGATAAACAGTACTCACCCGTGTATGCTTTGAGCCACTTGGTGTTGTGTTAGATCTGAGAATACATCGTTATGTCCTGTCATCAAATCGGAGACAGCTGGTTTAGGCAAGTGCACATCATCCGCCGTCTGTGTTCGGAGCATAATATGTGGATCCAAAGAACCACCAGATGCCGTCGGTGGAGGTAGTACATCCGGTTCCTTCAACACGGAATAGGATCCGTGTTTGCTGGAAGCACCTTCCCAACCGGATTCGACCCTGGCGGCAGCGGGAGTAGAAACGTGATAATCCCAAATGGTTTGCTCCAACTCCATCGGGATGCCTCCGGCGTGATCCGTGATGCGGATCCAAAAGTCCACTTCGTCCGACGCCAAAGTGATATGGATCGGAGGAAGACTTTGAGCTGTACGCAATCTGGATTCGATAGTCGCCCTTGAAACAATTAAAACAGTGGACATGGGATTCTTGTCAAGCATAGTTCCCGGTTCACAATAACCTGTTCAATCAAGCAATCTGATGAAAATGAGAAAACGAAACCGATAGCAGCTATCATACCGCATTCAATAAAACAACTATAGAGAATCACCGAGAAAATGGCGGAAACGCAAACACTGGTCTATATAGCAGATGAAAAGAACGTGATTCAAATGCGATGCAAACACTATTCCAAGTACAGTTCGTCGAACCTTCAAAACACAAAGCATATGACTTTAAGTAGTACGGTGAAACGTCTATGGTAGTGTCATCTTATCACACGGTTTTCGCTCACCACCTTGATTACGTGACCAATAAGGTGTCAGCCATATACATGCATATACATACATACATATATATATATATATACATATATATACCGGACACTTCATTTACTACTTGAGTATATGGAAAAGCTGTGACCAAGTGTTAATGTTGTTCAATGCACATCAACTAAAACCCCGATTGCCTATCGGTAGATACTGCCGATACAATTAAACCCACATTGGAAGTTTCTTTTATATACTTAATAGATGGTGACCTCAATAACCTTATTGTGGGTTTGTCATTGCCTAGATGAGCGGGAACTCGCTTCAATCACACTGGCAGGTACCAACACATAGTTGCGTCGATTATTGTGAAATTTTTCAACGACAGTCGTACACTGTTGGTTAGTATCCATGTATAACCGTCATATAATCAAGCGGGAAACAAATGGAAAAGCAGTCACGAATCGGTACTCGGTGATCATCTACTGGAAACGACAAACAGTGGTCCAAACCTGGTCTATCCCTACCGTATTGGTGATGTAGTGTTACGAACACCAAACAGTAGTCTTGACTATCGAGAGAGAAAAACAATAATAAGCAGTCAGGAGTTTGGAATCTCATTATCAGATGAACATTACTCATTTTCACTTAAGCACAACCTTCTCGATAAGCTACCGAGTTCATCACACATAAACTGTTTACAGCATGGTGGAGAGCGATTCAACTGCATTTGACTAAAAAAGTCCGGTTCGGTTACAGGGACTTCTGTTTGAACAGTTGCCGAATTTAAATATGCAAAGTTATTGGATCGAGCCCTGGAACACAATGATGGGTTGGTCAATCAGAATCCAACACTACTGCAGCCCACAAACAGAGGTTAATGTGAATACTGTTATTTTTCTATTAGAAGAAACAGCATATCTGCAATAAATTGGCATTGTGGTATGTCACATACGTCCGTTGTTTTAACGCTCTAGTTTGAAGCTTGAACAAAATGTTCATTTGGATAGGTTCGTCTCACTTGATATGCAGCGTTCTAGAGAAAACAATGAAGACAGATGCTACTGGTACCTTGAAGATTGAGACAATTTCCTTTATTGAATTTTGCACACCACAAAAATTTGACAAAATTTACGTAATCGATGAGGCATCAACCGAGATCGCCATTAACAGACACGAAATTTGTTTACTAGTCACCAATTCACAAGAGACACGTTGGCTCAGAAAAATCTACACAAAACACAGAATGCAATCGAATCAGTCTAATTTTCAAAGTAAAACAAGCATAAGGTCCTGTAAAACATAATCATCTTGATATTACGAGGTACGAATTGTAATATTTGGAACCAGCTGTTACCAGGTCAATTGTGTGTAGGCTGACTGGTCACATATCACAAATATATATTAGTACGCAAATCTGTAAAGGTCCAAATGTTAAATCAGCACTATGAAATAAACAGTTAACAAAAAAATAATCCGTGATGGAGAATTATGGATAAAACATAGTGACAAGTACACCGATAACAAAAGGGGAATTTTGATAGTTTTACATTGCACATTATTTCGAGATTCTGTTTTTTCCCTCTGACTGGCTGCCTCAGAACAAACATGAATTACATCGTTTATGCGGAGATGAGATGAACTATAGTACAGGATGTTCCTGATCGATAAAAGGCTTCGTAAACTGCAAGTGAGAAGAAACATAAAGAGAACGGGTCAATCATTTCAGTTGTGGATGTTTCGCTTTACCACTGTCACTCAGATGCAACCTGGGAGACATCCAACAATCTTCTAATTAGACATATCATAAAAATTAATGCGGTGGAGGCGACCGTTAGATTTTACATTACACGTTTGAAAAAAAAACCGCAAGAAGCCTTTTGCATTCGTAACATATTATTCCATACCTTTCTATTTACAGTGCTGTCATCAACCCGATAAAAGTAGTATTCAGCAAGTGATTTGTCATTTAACAGCACGCCAATAGGTTAACAAAGCTGAGGTGATAAAACATATAGTCAGATTGTTTGAATTCTCATCGGCCTTACTAACAAACGGAAAGGCTGGAACATACAATGCAGAATTGCGTTCGAGAAAATCAACTTTCAAGTGTGCTGCTTGTAACTGACAGAACTTAAATTGTGTAAATGCAGATTTACAAAATATTGCCACACGAATGCAAAATTTCGTTGAAGGATTTACGTAAATATAGATTGAACATCACCCACAACTGATCGCAGCTGTCGCGTTCCCATAGAATTTCCAGTCGGCCCATTTCATCATTAATCAAATACCGCTCAACAAGTCAATGATTTCCATGATTTTAAATTGGAGAGAAGTCCTGGTCGAGAGGTCATCGATTGGAGTTAACACACAGTAACTGTGTCTCCTCTCGAGGCGATCGGACAACCTGATCATTACTCACCAGTGAAAGTGGTTGAGTGTTCACATATGATAATTCGATGGTGCCTAATGTGAGGTCAATGGCGCAGTGGTAAACACGATTGCCTCATGAACAGCGTGTCCGTGGTTCAAGTCCCGGCAGTGGCGAGAATATGCACTACTGACGAGCTCTAATGAGAGCGAAACTGGGGTCTAGTGCATCTTTTCGAAAGGGGCCGACTGGAAAGTCTATGGGAATGCGACAGCTGCGATCAATTGTGGGTGATGTTCAATCTATATGAAAATCGAAATCCCCTACTACTCATCATTTACGTAAATGTTGTGTTTAATCGAGCGGTCTACGGATTATGGGTTACACAGTACATGGCTGAAAAGTGACACAAAAAGCTTAAAGTAAATTGTGGAGCAAGATTTAATTAGGACAGAAAATGGTTTGGAAGACATTTGTCTGATTGAACAAATGTAACGTGTTTTCAGCCATTAAAAACTGGAAACAACAAGACAATTTCACGCAAGATTAATGCCCATATGATTGATTCGAATAGGTATGCTTCTAAAAAGCAGCCTATAGAGTACAAACAAACTGACCAAACATAATGAGGAATCAAACATTGATCGACGTTGTAACTATTCATATCTGACTGCGTAACGCGCACAGACAATGGACTTCCTCTGGTCATTAACCAACTCAACCTCAGAAAGGGAACCGCGATTGCGTAACTGAAAGCAATAACACAACAAAACATGTCTATCGATTAATTTGGAACCATTCCAGCGAGAGGGCAGAGAACGTTATCAGTATCCGATTCGCAGATTAAGCTTGCGCATGTCGTCTATTCGTCAAGTCCGGCGTGGTGTACGATGCCATACACACAGATTTCAATGTTTTACACAGTTGAGCAAGGGATAACGTTAACATGCTGGGAACGTTGTTTACACCATGCACTGAATGAGCAAGGCTATTAGAACCGAGTTAGTCGTGTCAGAACACAGATGACTGTACGACCGTTCACCACGTGGTCAGATCAGCGTTTCTGGAGTGGATAATTTGGTGTGAATAGAACGAAACACAGGAGTGGCGACCCACTAATGTGAATAGTAATGCCATCCAACAGCTGAACGTGACTGAGTAGTGTTCACCCGACGGTTGTTCTGGCCGATTATCGTCATTCACACCGTCCCAACTTCATTCAGTATCGGTTTCTACAGCCGTTTTGGAACACCGTACAGTCTTTCACAGCCAAACCAGACCAAAGAGAAGTAGCATACAATGTGAGGTTGTCTATTTACACTTATCCTGACGATCACCGCTCTCTAGTCGAATCGGCCGCGATAATATGGCGCATCCTGCAGATTGTGTTGTCATTAGCCTGATAACCAAATAGACAAAATTAAATGTTTGCAACTTCGTTGTTCTTCAAAACAGGCACTATTGTATAAGACCCATTCAACCCAATACTGTTAAACAGTAAAATATTATCTTTTAGTAGCAGTTTAATCAGCCGTAAACAGATAACCTGGTCGACCAGTAGATCAGTCGAATCGCAATAAGGAAAGAAAATCTATCTTCCTTGGCTACTGTATTTCTTTTAATCTTGGGCTGAAATCGACAAGTTAATTTTATGGTTGGCCTACAAACTAGTAAATATGTTTTTAGATGAGACCCGATTGTGAAAAGTCAGGGCTTCGGCTGGATTCGAACCAGCGACAGAAACACCATGCCTCAATGCGGCAAGCGCACTATTAGCTCTATTAGCTGAGCTACGATGCCACGCCAGGAGCTCGGAAATTTCACATTTGCACTCGGTTACCCACCCGTTCCACTGTCACATATGGAATCCTCCAAATAATCCAGGGGGTCGACGGCCCCAGTAGGGTATCGTGGTCCCAAACGACGTTGAGGGTTTCTTACGGGCAGTCGGTCCTAGAGACCACCAACGAGATCGCGAACAGCTTCTCCTTTAAAAAACAGAGTAACCCATACCCTCCTGCACTCCCGTAGTCTCTAACACATGAGCAGTTGGACCACCATTGTGATAATCACTAACAGGGCATGGGTTCGGATCCTCGGTGGGTGCAGTGCTGATCAGACCCTAAGGGATCGAAACACCTGTTCCACTCTTAGTTAGTGATCAGTGAAACTAACTGACTCCAAAAACACCACCTTGCAACCAAAACGACCTAGCCTCAAACAGAATCGATTGGCTAGTGCAGACGAATTGTAAGCACGTACAAATATTATCATCTACACAATGTAGACTATTTGAATTTAGACACCTACCGAAAAGTGTTTTTCAACAATTCCGTCAAGATATAGTCCAGTGGCATTCGTATATAGGGAAACACAAGATTGGTTTGTCCGGCAACGACCACTTCGGGTACCACTCCGTATTGTAACTGGAACATTCCACTGTGTGAAGAAGAAGAAGAAAGAACAGAACGTCAACTGGTCAACAGTGTGCACTTGATCCGATGTGACCATAACCACTTCAGTTACAATTTATGATACATTTGACCATAAACTCAGAACAATCTGGCAGAAACAAATGATTTGAGTAAACGCAAACCTCACAACAAATTGGCAGTTAGAAACAATTACAAACCTTGTCAGTATGTTGATGAATCCAGAAACCTAAATGTGGTTCCCGGGAATCAAAGAATAAGTTAAGACATGATCACGAGGCTAATAAGAAGGCCAACAACAGCTTTCAAAAAGTTGGACGGCGACAAAATGCGCGTTGCAGAAAATCTATAGAGAAGTGGTGCAGCTTTTCAAACTCAGTGAGTAAACCAACATTCTACACATGTGGTGGTTCAACACTTTTATTTCAGGACTCCATAACCACGAACGAGGCGATGTTTCAGCCTTGTGAGGGCTGAACGATGCCACGTAGGCTGAGGGTCGGAGACACGACCCGTGAACAAATGACAGAATGTTGATCTAGATGATTATCCGCTGGATCGCGGGAACACTGTCGTCACGGCTACAGAAGGGTTACGTGTCAGCTTTCTTGAATGTTGCAGCATATTTCTCATGGGCTGGAACCAATAACGTAGCTACGTGAAGAAGACAAACGAATCGATGTTGAAAGCAATGATATTTCGGTACCACCATAGATTAATTTTGAAACATTGGTTCCCATGGATGAATCTGAAAAAGGCCAATAGCAGCATGTAAGATGTCTTGCACAGTGACATTTCGTTCGCATCTCATCGGTTATTTTTGCGAACTCAGCTTACAACATTATATGATGGAGGAGCAAGCAGCTAGGCGAAATCGATCTAGTCATATCTGAGACAGTCACTCAGGTGACCAAAGCGGAAGCAGCTAGATGCAACTGAAGCGTATTCATGAATAAAACAACGAGAAGACGCAATTCACGGGATGTTCTCCGGAGTAACACTTCGTACATTCTGATCACACATGGACATGTATCTAATTTTAAACGAGTCAAAATTCCACAGAGCGGAAGTCATCGCTTAAGGGATTAAACAGACAGACACCAAAATGCAAAATCAAAATTGTGGGAATGCTGACTACCAGGGTAGAAGCAGAAGCGTATTCATTAACATGAATTTGATGCAACATAACAGAATTGCTGTAGATCGAAAGCGTAATAGGAATCCAAAGAGAGAGATTGTTAAAAATCCATACAAATCAAATGGAAGAGATAAGATATGGTTAGAAAATCTATACAAATCAAACAGGAGTTAAAAGAATGTACACCGATTTACAGTGATAACGCAATATGGATTAAGAAGAGATAGGAGTGGTCCGTCAATTGTTAAATTGTATGGAAAAAAATACATCGGTCTAGAAATTCGGATTTGGAAGAAACACGAAAGTAAAATGGAATCAAGGAGTACCAGTTGCATTCTTACCAACTGAGAACAGATTGCATCTTGTTGATATAATCTGAACGATTTAACAAAATCACTCCAGACCCTTTATCCAATGGTAAAATAGTCAGTTCTGTATCATTCCTAGACGTTTTGCTGAAAAGACGCGAGGATGAATCACTTTTCAGACGTGTGTATCTCAAGTTTATGTGAACAGGACAATATCTGCATTTTAAGGGTTTCGCAATAATTACAGAGTTCGACGTATGGTGACAGAGGATGTGTTAGAAAATGAACTGATATTTTTGCACGAGACTGATAGAAAATGATTACCTCACAAGGTTTATCGGAAAGTATTCCGCTCCACAACCTACAGGAATTACACCCATTACGGTTCTTCACAAGCCTGTCTAACTCTGTCTTTCAAAGGTGACAATGTTTCAGCTCTGATAAGACGCCGTTTAGATGCAGCGCTCAAGCGCACTTGCAACGCCGCCCAACTGGTCTACGTGGATGAAACGACCCGTGTTCCAACTATGCCTAGAAAGAACGTGGTGCCCAGTTTCGCCCAATTCAATATTGTGTACACGTTTGATTGTGTCTGTGGAAGCAGATATGTCGGCAGAACTAAGATACACCTCGGTACACGCATTAATGAACACATATCGGAATGGCTTTGGAATTCGAGGGTCGGTTGTACCGCCAGTGCTATTACAAAACATCTTCTACAGACCGGACACTCAGTGGACCCAAGGACTGCCTTCAGAGTGCTATTTAGACCCAAAATAAAACAGGCCCTTATTATTGCGGAAGCTGTTTCAGTACATCGGCTGAATCCCAATCTGTGCGCTCAGAAACAGTTGGGTAGCAAAAACCAACCAGTTTTTAAAATGACTTGATACCAATTGAGATGTACTGCCGAACATATATATTCACCTCCTTCACAAAGAGACAAACGTGCTTGACTAAAAATGACCGGTAAGGGCATACAATCCACCAGACGATCAGAAATAACAGGCACGTCCAACATAATTTACGTTAGATAACTGCTTACACAGCCTAACTATTACAAAATTATTTACAAAATAGAACTGTCAGTTTCTTGTGTACGTCGATGACAAGTAACTTCTTGCAAAAATGTTAGATGCATCACCGATGCGCCAGTCGGAAGATCCAACTGAAACCATCTGGGGCTTGAAAGACAGTCAGACTTATCAAACCGAATCCAAATCATGCAGTGGATTGCAATGAAGTATAACAGCCAAAGCAATGAAGCGGTAAACAGGCTTGCCTTGCTTGATAGCGGGCAATCCGGTGTACCCCAGAAGACGTGGATCGACTGTCACATGGATGACACTGAACGTATTAATTGTATCGAGTGGGTTAACACTAAATCTCATGCGTTGGATGACGCAGACTGCTTGTTAGCTCAAGTGATGGCTGCAGAAATTGGCATTACATCGATCGATTGCATAACTTGACACTTGACCCAAATCGATATGTGTTCGCCAATCCATGCCTCAGTTCTACCAACGCAGGAAACTGTGTCCATATTGATACTGATAGATGACGTGTGATTTGGTGGAGGGTGACACAGGCCGTTGAACTGGAATTCATCGGATGCGAATAGCTTCATAAAAACGGAACTAATTAAACAGAACTAACGATACGTTTGACGGCTCCCTGGAGTCGGTTCTCCATTAGTATGCATTGAGGGGGAAACTAAAGTTTTTCAGGAACATCTCGTTTTAACAGTTCCCGTTGAACCGGATGACTGGATTTCGTAATGAACCGAGAAGGGTAATCGCCGTCCGTGAGCACATCCTGTAAAGACGTTCAGTTCATCCTCATACATCCGTATAACAAATGTATTTGGACTGTTCGAATAGTGCACGGACCAAACCAGGTCTATCAATGATCGATAAAAAGCAGATAGCAAGAAATGGTAGGTAATATTCACGTTCTCCCTCGAGTCCTGTGGACATACCTGTTCAAACTGCGCATCACCTGATGTTGCTGACCTATGATGCCGGTTTTTCACAATAGCAAACAGACTGTCAACGTATCTGCTGCACAAACAGCACTTTCCGAGAAAACTTGACGTCGGATTTTCAAGTCTTGTGGTAAAAGTAACGAGCAAAGTGCGTCCCAGAGAGCCTCTCATGGCCACACTGCCGATTTGACTAAAGGTCTGACTTGAAACATGAAACAAATATTGGGAGAATGAGATACAAGAAAGAGTTCAGTTCGTTTGTGAGCAGAGAAATTTCAACTGCCCGATTGTTGTTCAAACTTCTGAAGGAAATAAACCGTTTTAAACTTCAACTGTGTCGTCCAATAAATTCGAAAAGGTACGGAGTCGCTCGGCGTAGAGGAAGACTTGGAAACAGAAATTCCATCTCCTTGAATGCGTAGCATTTTGTCCTCTGTTCACACTGTTCAGTAAATTGATCAATTCAGAGAGTAACCTTTGATTTGAGTCTTTTGGAAGCCACGAAGTTGGTTTATCATACTTATTGTTACTTTTAAAGAACAAAACGTAGTCTGCTGGATAAACCGTCCCTATAAGAGTGATCGTAATTTGTGTGCCAACAGTTTCTCTGCATCAGCACGATTGCTATATGTACGTTCAAGCTGAGACTTAAACCGATCGATGAACATCGATAACACTTCACTTATGCAGTTGACACAATCCGAAACCATTCCGTAACTCTCACCTGGTGGTACAATTCTTCAATTTTAACTCTACTCCAACGTTTCCAATGACCGAATGTGTTGTCTGGTCAATACACCTTCGAGTCTACCTGGAGTAATTCGATACGAGTGTGTGAAAACAATGAACCTGCCATTCAGCCACCTTCCATTCTCTCCAGGAGTCGCTTCCAAATCAAAGAGTTTTCCACACAAGTACTCAAACCGAGTCATTCTTTT